CAGAGAGAGAGAGCTCGGGAAAATACTCCCTTAGAATATCTACCCTAAAAGTGGATTTATTCCTTTCCTTTCATCCCCAGCAGAATTTCAATTGGAAGAGAGAACTTCATGTGGGTAATTTGTGTGATCATAGAACAAAGCAGGGCCTTGATCAGGTAACACTTTGGTGCAAACACAGGTTGCGCAAAATAATCCTTCAATGACCAACAACCTGTTGCTTAGCATAGTTAATCACATTAGAGTAGCCTTCTTGAATCAATGAGGATTGGGTGAGTCAATGTCCTTTGATGTTTCTTCGATTCAAAGAAGCCTGTTCTAATTGGAACTTACTTTAACATAGTAAGTCAGAGTTACCGTCCGCCCATTTGAACAATGGAACTGATTGAGGAGTTGAATCCCCTAAGCTTCGTTGATTCAATGGGCCTACTCGAATGTGATTTACTACACTAAGCATGAGGATTTCTTTCTTAAAATCATGGATTAGAGAACCCATAGTGATTCAAGCAGAATCAGGCATAGTTCAGCAAAATCTCTCATTTTGGATTACATGTCATAAAGCAGGAAACTAAAAAAGAAGGCTGATCCCTTAGCAGATGACTCTTGAAGAGCTTCAGGGTCACCCTGACCTCAGCCAAAATCTCCTACCGAATGATGAACTAGGAGACCAGGATCTCTATAGCTGCCATGGACTGCTACTGCTCCATTTCATCAATGCAACTTGATGACAGTTTTGAGAAACAACTACAAGACATCACATTCAGATAGGGGCATAGAATTGGTCATGGCTTTCACCCTACGGGCACTGCAGTTTAACGTAATGGTGCACACTCGTCACGTATGCTTGATCTGTTGGCTCCCTCATGCCAATAGATCAAGCATTTCAGGGAGCTAGCACCAGAGGCCAGGGACTTGCCAGAAGGTCTTCCAGCATAGGTCTGGCAGATTGGTGGAAACAAGTGTCGAGGCAATAGGTCTTGCATTGGATCCCAGGACGCGAAAGGATTATTTAGCCACAGGTACTGAGTTTCATGAATTTAGGAGGCGCTAGAACAAACATGGCCAGCTCCAGTGGAGCACCTTCAACAATTCATAATGGTCTTACATAGGAAGGGATTAGCCACAGGCAGTATTCAGGGTAAACTGTCAGCCCTGGCATTCTATGCAACATCGAATGGATGCAAGGATTTTTCTGGTGATTTTAGAATCAGGAACATGTTGGAAGGATGGTCCAGGGAGAGGGTCCAGGATGCCAGAACACCCATATCCCCTACTCTCCTTGGACAACTATGCGAGCAGCGAGTAGCTTTATGTAGGGACCGATATGAGGTGACATTATTTCAAGCAGTGGCATTGGTGGCCTTATTTGGGGCCCTGCGAATTAGCAAGTTAGTGGCTATGGGAAAAGGGGACACCTCACTAAAGGCCTTACAGCGGGGCGATGTTATAATTCAGGATGGTCAGTTAAAGATCAATATAAGGCGGTCCAAAGCGGATCCGTTGGGAAAAGGCAGGCAATTAGTTTTAGGGAAATGTAATATTAAGTGCATTTGTCCCATAAAGGCAGTTCAGGAATTCATGGAGATTGTCCAAATGTGGGGTATTTATTCCAACATATGGATGGGTTGCCACTTACAAAATATCAATTTTGGAAACTTACTGACATGGCACTGGAGAGGATAGAAGTGAAGGAGATGAGATTTGGGACACATTCCTTTAGAATAGGAGCAGCATCAATTGCAGCAGCTATGGGTTATAATACAGACCAAATCAAACAGCTGGGGCGTTGGTCGTTGTCTTGCTATCATAAGTACATCAGACCTCTACCTAATGTGTAGGAAGGGGCCCTTTGTGTCATTGCAGGTGTCAAGAGGCTGGAAGGCTGAAGACACGTGATGATCATCAGCCACAGTTATGTTTATTGGGTGGCGCATTATGCCGCATCTTCCCCGTGGGGGAATGATTTAGGGCTTAGTGCCCATGCATATATTACATGGAAAGGCATGCGTGGCATGCAATGGATCCAGTTCAGCAGGATGACGGCCTTTAACCAGACACCACCTGATATTTTAGTAATTCATTTGGGAGCAATGATCTGCCTGGATCATCTGGTAAGGCAGTGATACTTGACATTCTAAGTCTAAGAGATCTTAGAAGGTTGAATGAAAAGTATCCTGCTATGCGATTCCGTGGTTAGCCTGGCGAGGCGCCCGGAATATTGGAGATGTTAACAAGGCCTGGCAGGGCGTTAACAGAGAAATTTGTAGAGGTGTCTGCAGCGGCGGCCTCAGATCTGTGGTCAATCACCGCAGGATCCAAACTTCCAACACTAAATATTTTAGTAGTGATGGCATCCACCTATCTGATGCAGGTTTGGACATATTTCTTGAAGACATTAAAGGGGGCCTGCTCTCTGAGCTACGTGTGCTCAATGGCAGGCATGGTACTTAGTCAAGCTAGTCCCTATGCTGTGGTGGGTAGTGCGGAAAAACAGGTTGTCTCGGTGTGCCCCATTGGTAATTCTGGTAAGCCAACAGCGCATCCGACCTCCCGGGTCTGCGGATCGTGCGATTACAGGGCCTGCGGCGGGAAGATGCGCTGGGCCAGTTTCAGACCAACAGTCATCAAATAAAGATGGCTCAAGGTTTGGGGTGTTTATTAGAGGCCGCCCAGGTTCCTGCTGTCATCAAGAGTGCTGGAAACTGGGGCCCGGGAGTCGCCCATTGACTGTTAAGGGTACCGTGGATACCCTGCATTTTCCTGCTTCCGCACTACCGCAGGCCCCCTTATTTGATGAGGCCAGCGATATATATAATTGGACTTGATTTAATAAAGTGTGGCCCATATTTTAATCCATATCTCTGTCTCGTGTCTTTATTCC